GAGCTTAAGTCTTATACGAACCGAACTCAAACATGACAAACTCGGCTAACTCGGCTGAGTAAGACTGGTTTACAACTTTAGAATTTAACCCCAATCCCATGGCTTGCCACATATGAAATATAAATAAATAAATACTAGAGTGAGGCTGTGCTATGCACGAGGCAGTTATAAATTTTATTAAATTATTAAAATTAATTGTTGTTGTTAAATATACATAAAGTTTTAATATGAGAATTATTTGAATAAATTAAAAATATTTTACACGATTAATTTTTTAGTATTTTAAATATTAAAAATTAATAGATTTTATCGATTAAATATAGATATTGCAAAAATAATGTCTATATATAATTTAGTGGTATCTATTCATATTTTTATAAACAATTTTTAAAATTATAATTTAGTTGAAAATTATGTCTATAAAAAATTTAAGATATCTCAACAAAACAAAAGTTAAATTTCTTAAATTTGTTACTGTCATTTTAATATAATTAAATTATAAAATACTTTCTCCATCGAAATAATTATGTCATATTTTTTATCCGTCAAACTTATGCATAATTTATTTATTATAAAAATTTATCTATTCACAATTTTTTTATCCTTATTTAAACAAATAACGATCAAATTTGTCTCCATTTTTCTATTTACTCTACTATAATATCCTCAATTTATTTTTTTAGTTATCTCACATTCTGCATTAAAAATATTTTTATTTATTAGTCTTTATGTCTGGACTAATGGAGTAAAAAATAATGCATAATTGACTTACTTATTCTATATTGAACAATATACATATATTCAGCTAAATTAAATATTACTATAAAAAATTTGATTCACCACATTCTCAATAAATTTTATCTTTCTAATATTATATATATTTAAAAACAAAAAAAATTAACATATAAATAAGATAACATTTTAATACATTTATAGTTGTTAAATTAAGGTCTATTATTATTATAATCATAAATATAAATGAATAAGAAATAAAAAAGTAAAATAATAAATTATTAAAAAGTTAAAAATCATAAAACTCGCAAGTGGTAAAAACATAAACAATTTAAAATTTATTATATTTTTTACTATAAGATGATAATTGAGTTTGTTTGATTTTGATTTAAAATTAGAAATTTGTTCTTTTTCATATTTTTTTTATTTATTTTTTTCAAAAATATTAATATATTACCAAACATTCATTATTTATATATTTTATACACGATTTCTTATTCGTTACATAAAAAAACATGTCTTTAAACTATTTTAAAAAAACAAAAGTACTATTTTTCTTTGAAATGGATCAACCACTTCATCTTCATATCAAAACTCGAAATATTAAAATGAAATTTAATAAACCTATTAGGATATAAAATTATCATTAGATTTTACATTCACATATAATTTTTTTTGTAAAAAAGACACGTAATATAACTAAAATAAAAAATAAACTCATATAAAAAAATTAAAAATTAAAAATTAAATAAAAATGGGTTAATTAAGAAAATCAAATATAATTTAATTTTTTATATATATTATATTTATGGTGGGACCCACCATGTAAATATTAAAAAAAAAAAATCCACGTGAAGACACGTGGTGATACAAAAGCAAGGGTAAATATTATATATATTAGATATTAGTGTGAATCCCGTGCTACGCACGGTGGTGAAGTTATGCCGTATATTGTAACATACTTATATACAAATATAAGTAAAAGTTAAAAAAAAAAAAAAACAAAAAGAAAGAAGAAAAAGCTATACAAAATAGTAAACACGCAACAGCATAAATTTATAAATCATAAAATTTAAATAAAAGTCATTTTTATAAATTACCATCAAATCTTAAAGTGCCAAGAAATATAAAAATAAAAGAATTATAATTATGGAGATCGTTTTATAATGTGTGCATGTTCTTCACACCAATCTACTTTCATAACTTGAAACACCGGAGATGGAGTATCGGGTCTTGCAAATATTGGAGGTACAGGAACAATGAATGTGAATGGGTAGTCAATAAATGCAATCAAATAATTTTTGAGCATTGTCTTCCCATTTATCTGAAAATATAAGTAAAACATATAAATATATTTTATAGTATAAAATTATATAAAATTAATATATAAAATATACCTGGGTCGTCGTACACTTGACAGATGGATCTTCAACATAGAATATATATTTGAGATGTCTGTCGAATAACTTGAATCTCATTGTCTCACTACTATCATACGCCTTTATGTAAACTTGATAAACAAAATTAGTTAAAAATTTCCACATGCTATCAACATCAATTTCTTGGACACGAACAAATATTCGGAAAAATTTTACCTGCAAAAAATAGAGTAATTACTTTAAATAATATTAAACATATAGTCGAAGATATATTTAAAATTATATATCCAACCCTATCTTGATGTTTGAAGTCACGTATCCGAATTCGTTTGGCATTTGATATTTTCAATAAGTCTAATATTGAAAATATCTTTGACCTAAATAATGACACCAACTTCTCTGCACAACAATTGTCTCTGAACCTAAATAAAATAGTTAAAATCAATTACAATTAGATTAGGGAAAAAAATACTTTCTTCGTCCCATAACAAAGTATCCATTTTTCCATTTTAGTCCGTCCCATAACAAAGTATTCATTTCCTTTTTTAGTAACTGTACTATCTACCTAAGATTACAAATACCCTTACAACTTACAATATATTACACAAATGTCATTACCTTTATATCACACATATAACAAGGTTATTTTAGTCATTTTTACTTTATTTCTACTATATCCCAATATAATACTAATATTTCTAAAACTACGTGCAAAAAGCAAATGGATACTTCTTTTTGGGACGGAGGGAGTATATTTGATATAAATATTAAATTTAATTACTCACCAATTATGAAAAGTTTCGCTAAAGCTCGTCCGTGGATTTATATACATTATAGGGACAATATTGTGGAATTCGCTCAAAAATTCTTCGTCGGAATCACGTGAATCTTCGACGGTCACATTATGACGCAATATTAGTTGGTAACGATGAGGTACTAATCTGTATATTTTATCTGCTATTATCGCTTGTGCGTTATGAATATTATAAATAGTCTCTTCTGTAAGACATGGATATAATCGATCAATATTAGTCCCATGAACTATGTCTTGCATGACAAATTCCTGCAGTGATAATTGTCGTAAGAAACAATTATAAATTATGACAATAAAAAAAATAATACTCCCTCCGTCCAACATACCATATCCACGTTGTCACTTTCATTTTTTGGAAAATGATTACACACTTAATCTCATTTTAAATTTTTTAATTTATTTTTTAAAATTTTAATTAAACTAATTAGTTATCTTAATCTTAATTCATAATTATTTATATTATATGATAATTATTTTCACTAATACATTTTTAAATATCTACTAATTACACCCCACCTAAAATACCGTGTCTACAGTGTAGCAGACACGGTATGTGGGACGGAGGTAGTATCATAATTGTAGATATCTAACTATGGAATGCAATTGCAAATATATATATATACTTACATTAGCATCAACAAACAACATCTTCAAAACTCTTACATTAGATTTTGGATTTTGCACATCCAATAATCTAATTAATCGAACTTTAATACTAATGTTGCCACACTCTGGCGTTAAATTTTTCAATCCATGAAAAATTGCATCAGCATCATCGGAATAATTACATATCCAATTGTAAGTTATAAATAAATTTATTGTAGTATCAAACAATAAAATAGCTCAGGTAATTAATAAAGCCGTAATTTATCGCAAATGTGCACAACATTAGCTACATGGTATTATCAAAGATAGAGAAGAAAATGAAGTCTAATTACGAATACAATCAAGTACTTCTGGATACACTATATTCCTGGTAAAATTGAAAGGGATAACACTTCTATTCCGGATGACAATTTTTAATCCAGATGGATTTGTCACCCGCGACAATGCAACATAAAGCATACCATGAGCAAAAACAAGATTTGGTAGGTATAACCCGGCACTATCAAGTGTTTGACCCTGACTTTTGTTTATTGTCATCGCAAATGCCAATTTGATCGGAAATTGTCTCCTTTTCATCTGAACATATGTTTGTGTTTGAGTTGTGGTTAATATGATCTATGGAATTAATAACTCCTCACCTACATGAGAACCGCTGATGATTCGAGCCTCAAGAACCTTACCACCCACCTTTAGAACAATAAATCGAGTTCCATTACAAAGACCCAACGATTGATTGATATTCCTAAGAAGAATTATTGGTGCACATTCTTTAAGCTCCAGACAATGATTGGGAAACCCAGAAAGATTTATCATATTCAACAACTCGGGAGGGTTCAAATGTTATTCTGTGTTTTGAGCTTCACCCGGTGCTACAGTATCGGCACTGTAATACTTCCGGATACCACCAGGAAGGATAGATAATATCGTAGAATTGATCTCATCAACATCCTCATTTTTTGGTGCTAAAATGGCTCGTTCTTTCAAATAAGTCGAGTCTTTATACCTCTCAATCAAATGGGGATATGTTTATACTATTAGAGATTTGATGTTATTATCTTTATCTTTGAACAGAAACCGCTCCGGTATTTCAATCCAATTAGATTACTCACCATCTTGAAATTTCAGATACTTAACATTTCCTTCACCTATCATATTTACCCATTCGGCAAAATGACGTATTTCATCAAGTGAGTCTCGTGAGCCATCTCGTGAGATCAATCTCATATTCATCTTCAAATGGATAACTTTGAATTGATTCCACAAATCAGAATTATGAAAAGAAGCTTCCACAATAGCCTCACGCTTTCCTTTAGTGACGAAATACAAGATTGGTTTAAAATCTCCCCCTAATATGCATAACTTCCCCCGAAAGGCTTATGAGGGTAGAAATTTTCAGAACTTTTTAATATATCTTGCAATGACCTATTCACTGCCTCAAATCCATGGCGATGCATCATCGGTGCCTCATTTCATATTATCAATGAACACTCTCGAATCAAATCTGCCAAATTTGAGTTGACATTAATGGAGCAATGTGATGAATCATCTAATTCAATTGGTATCTTGAAATGTGAATGTGCGGTTCGACCACTTGGCAGTAACAAAGCTACAATTCCAGATGATGCAACTGATAACACAATTTTTCTCTGTGACCGAAATTTAGCAATGATGGTCTTCCACAAATATGTGTTTCCCGTTCCCCCACTCCCATTGACGAAGAAAAGCCCTCCATGTTTACCCTCGTAAGACTCAATAATTTCATTGTAAGCATGGAGTTGATCAATATTCAATCCTGCATGCAATGAATTAAATGAATGCTCCTCATTACCTGCATTGTAATCGAGCGCTTCTCGTATCAGTCTATTTGATAGATAGGTAAATGATCTACCGGATGGTTGTGGCATCGGGGGAAAATCTAAAAGACTCCTACTATTTTTGCTAAGTATCAATTCAATTTCTTGAAGACCCCAATCCTTGAGATCCATATCACTTATACAAATGTCATTCCTCGACTCTCTTCTTAAATTGTAGAGCAAATCGTCAACCATTGACCTCCAATGTTGTTCCCATAAGTTAACAGGATTGGTTAGCTCAGAAAACATAAGCATTGTCGCAAATATATTTCACAATTTCGAAGAAGAAGCCCAACTTGCAGCTTCAGACAATGCTTCATGCCAATCATTGTCATCATCCAATAAACCACGTGCAGCACATGCTTGCTTAAAGGTGGAATAAACAATTCCATTAAATGTTCGAAGATATTCAAAAGATTGAGCTCTACAAACAATGTAAAGCAACATCCGTAAATAATATGTCTCTCATGAACTTGGATGTGCATATGGAAGCCTCCCAATAATCCTACCCCGTTGTCTTATAACTTATTCTTTTGTACGTCTTTTCCAAACCCATGCAGCAATAAAATTCACATAAGTTAGGCTTTGCGCAGCAGCGCTACTTCTGTTGGCTTCAAACCACTTAGTCAACATCGTATGTTGCACACCAACACGATCGAAAACACTGACCAAACTATCTCTTTCATGAAACACTACATATTGTTGATTCGGCAAGTGATATTGCAAGCGCTCCACAACTGGAGAATGCTTTTGAAGTTCAAACTCATAAATTCTCCAGCAAGCTTCAATTGCCGATATGTAACGACAATCTAAGTATTGTTTGACTTTATCAATTCTGTTGCGTCTCTAATCATTGTTCATTGAATCTTCAACATTTCTTTGAAGAGAAATGATTGCCCGATCTGTCCTTTTACACATTTATTTGTACATGTACTTCATTAATTTCGGAGATGCGCACTTCTCTACGTTGATGTGAGCATTGAACAACAGAAGTAGGTCTTGATTGTATGGAACAATCCAACGATTGTCCAATTTGATACCATTTACAAAAAAATATCTTTGAAGGATCACATCTACGTCTATACAAAACAAATCCATTTTCATCTATCGTAGTATGTGAGTAAAACTTCTTTGGATAGTGTTTACTACACTTTCCATCGACCATACATGAAGCGTTGGGGTTATGTACTTCACATGGTCTATGAACCATTTGTCTTGTAACAATATTATAGGCAAGTGGATCAACATTCTTCTTATCAGGAATTTCGGCACAAATGTACCTATCAATTTCTTTGGGAGTGATTGGTTTAAATCCCTCTTGAAGAGACAACGTAATATGCGAGTGAGGCAATCCTCGTTTTTGAAACTCAATAACATGAACATCTGTTGTAGATAAATATGAATGAGTAGTTATTTTGTAGATATTGAAATCATTTTCAAAATAATAAGTTACATTATAGTATACCTGCAATTGCTTGGCCAAAGAACATTTTATCAGTCAAGAGCTTCAACATTTCTTTACGTTTCATCCTGAATACTCTTGCTAGTAGATCAGGACGATCTTCAGTATATTGATTTGGAAGTTTTGATAATTTTTTGGAAATTTCTGGCCACCTTGGATTGCATGCGAACGTAATGAAAAAATCTGGAGATCCAATTGCTCTACATATTGCCAATGCATCATGATAATGTTGCAACATATTTCATGGACCTCCAGTAAATGAAGATGGTAGAATAATCCTCATCCCTACCGCTCTAGCATCCATATCCCCTGCAACTATAGCATTAGCAAGACCTTGATATAAATCCGCGCGCAACTCAGCTTGATAGGTCTTTATGTAATTCAAGCGTTGTTGTTCAATTGCTGCATAACAATCCACTGCAAGTTGTTGAAACAAATGCCCTCCTCGTAAAGGAGTTGTGTCTTCTGTTGATCTGTGTTGGAAGCGAAATGTCCAGAATTCTCGCATTTAAACATTTTTTATTCTTCTATGTTGTAACTTCACATTGCAAGGAATCTCAATTCTCCACCTGTCACTCTCATATGGAAAAGGTAATGGGTATTGCAATGGAATATAGGAAGGATGGGTCTCACTAATTCGCTTTAGATATCCATCTGTTTTGCAGAGAATGATGTCACAACTTTGTACAGTATTTCTATCTTGACCAATAATCAACGCGGCAATCTCATTCGTAGAAGGCATTGTGTACTGTCGATTACTTCTACTATTCAAAATCCGTACATGTAAATCAACTCCCCTATCATGTTGCAATGCATCCCTCGCTGAACGGAAAATTTGAACGTAAGGGTTCACATCATCCAACATAAGTTTTAATCCCTCAACTATAAAAGAAATTTTGGGAGTACATCTATCTTCTTAAGACAGATAGTCGATTGCGCACTTCTTTCTCAGTATCACAAATGTACAACTGGACAAATTTATTATGCTCTCCTCTAGAGGGAATCAATGATCCAATTAGGTGAAAATTTTCTCCATAAATTCTATAACAGAATGGTCCTCTCCCATCTTGAACTGATCTATCAATTTTTCCACCCATTGATGTGATACTAAAGATTGAATTGAATGATCTGATATTTTCCATAAAACTGTGATCTTTTAATAAGCCATCTAGATACTCAAGAGAATTTGGCAGCAAAGGCAAATACACATTTCCACTTTGGCAACACAAACCAAACTTAGGACTTTGTTTGGAACTACGAACAACTTTTTCCTCCAACCACATAAAAGCGCCACAAAATTGACAAATAATATTTCTTTCACTTAAAATTGATGTTGTTGTAGCACGGGTTGGCAATATTGGAGGTATAACTGAAAGAATTATAATATTGAAGATTAACTAAAATTGTATATAGTTTGACACACAACCGAAAGCATCAAATGTCAAACATATTCGGGTATGCAATTTCATACATGAAGATTGGCTAGATATATAATTTTAAATATAAATTTGACTATATTTTACTATTATTTAAGAATAAGAAATGCAAAAATAAATTATAAACTAAGATATATATATATAATTATATTATAATAAAGTTAATATAATTTTACCGTGCATACCCAAGATTAAATTAATGATAAGTATTATAGATACTTATTTAAATAAAAATATAAATTCATTGTAAATAATAAATAAATTTGATATATTTCGGTAATAGTATTCACGATTACCGAATTTATATTTTTCTGTCGTTGGTATTAAGTAGAAAGTGGTACAATCACTTCATATAAGAATAATAGTACATATATTAATTATTAAGTATAATTGATGGATAATGTGTATTGTAAGAAAATACTAAAACATACTATAATCATAGTAAAATATGAGTTATATGTAGTTAAAATATTTAATAATTTTTTTATTATTATTTTTTTTTTATAATACCTCTATCTCCGTGACTATTCATATGCACAGTATCTAATCCTTCGTTACCGATACCATAAAAATTTATGTCTGTAAATATATAAAATGTATGAAAAAAATTACACAATATATTGTTATATAAATTATTTATTATAAGTATATAAATTAGACAAAAGCTGACCGAATAGTTGCATATCTAAAAGGTTGGATATGAATTAATATAATATTAAAATACCCAAATTTAAATTACTCTTAATAAACTTAATAATTTATCAATTCGTAAATAAAATTTTTAATTAAAGCTATTTGAATACAAACAGTAAATAAATTTAATATAGTACTACCTTGATTTATATTTACTATCATGTCATTTTCTTCTTCACGATGATCTTCAATAGACCATGGGATTACTTCTTCATCTTAAAAAAAAATAATTATGATTAATAAAATAAAAATTATATGTAAACTGAATATATAATTTAAATTAAATACCTTCATGATCATGATCAATCATATGTATATTATTTGATTCACTATCATTAACACTACAAAAAATTAGTATATTTGTAACAGAATTCCGTTCCTAAAGTTTATGTAGCTAACGTAATTCCATCTCTAATTCCGTCTCTAATATCATTAGTAACAGAAAAAGTGAATTTAGTAACGAAAAAATCTCGTTACAAAATTGATAATTTCTTGTAGTGTAACTTCACGAAAGTGAGTTGAATCACCTATAAAAATAATAATATATGTAACTAATTTGAACAATATATTCTTATATCAATGAAAATATATTTTTAAAGCAATGATGTAACTAAAATAAAAAATGTAAAACGTATTTAATCTTCTCCCAATAAAATGAACTGTAAATTTAAGTTCAATAAATTATATAATTGTATTTAAAATAATAAATAAATTTAATATATTATTACCTTGATTTGTATTTGCTATCCTGTCATTTAAATTTTCTTCTTGACGATGCACTTCAATAGAAGATGGTATTATCTCTCCATCTTAAAAGTAATTATTATAATTAGTAAAAAAAAAAATCATATCTAAATAAAATATATAACTTAGATTAAATACCTTCGTCTTCAAAGTTAATCACATGCATATCATTTGATTCACCATCATTGACATCACAAAAGTTCACCGAATTACCTATAAATATACATAATATATGTAAATAATTTAAACAATATATTCTTATTATATTAATAAAAATAAATAAATAAATAAACAATGTTAATTTCGAATATAGTATGTACCATTTTGCCTATGATTTTGTGGTTGCCAATTTAAACCACGGGTCATTCTTTGTGCCCTTCTGGGTGGTGGTAGATCAGGGTAGAACGAAGTTTCATTCGTAATTTTATAAACAATACAAATTGAACGAAATTCCAATTCGATGTGTTGAATAACTGCCTTCAGCTCGGGATTTCTTCCCTTGTTGTACTGCTTTATTCGCATATGCCTCCGGCATCTTAATCGAGCAAGTTTTTTTTTAAAACATGATCGTTATCCATCTATTAAAAATAAAAAATAAAAAGTTCGTAAAGATGAATATAAATATATTCATAAAATACATTTTGATTATGAACAAAATAAATTGATATTAGCAATTTTTTAAATTATATTATAGAAAAAGTAATTAATTTAAAATAATCAAATAATATTAAATAAATAAAATGAAGAGAGTAATAATTTATAATATTTATTTCCGACTATGTTTATGTCATATATTGGGAACTCATATATATATATATATTTTATGTTTGTGTCCAACTATGAACGCGTGGCATAGCATTTATAAATAAGAATTTGCTTTTTTAAAGAAATATTTTTGTCACTTAACATATTGATCAATT